GCAACACCAAGGGTTGCGATCCCGTTGCCGGTCCCCGGTACACCTGCCAGAAATTAAAATTAAGGAGTCTAAATTAAAAACACTGAAAATGCTGTGTTGGGGAAGATGTGAAACAACTGGATCTCTCACACATGGCTGGTAAGGATCATTTATTTGAAAAGATCTAAAAAAAAAAAAAAAACCAAACTGCCAACCCCAGCAGCGCTGACTAAAACAAACCCTAGAAGGCACAAATATCAGAATGAAAAAGAGGATATCACTATAAGTCCTATACATATTAATAACAGGGATGCTGTGCAAAGAATGAGGGTAGATTATGTACCTGTTTCTGGCAGCATGAAAGACTAAGTGCTTGCCTGCTGAAAACAACTGACCAAGTTGTACAAAATTTAAAAATCCAAGCAAAGGCAGGAACCCAGAGAAGTCAGGAGGCTTTGAACCAGCTTCTGCTCTGAGGACAGGGACCATGCACTTCCCTTTTCAAGTCCACTGGGGAATGGAGAAGAAAGTCCAGGTCCTACTCAAGGTGAGGAATCACAACAGGTGGGACCTCAGCCCATAAAACTGGCACCCTAAAGAACCACCTGTCAGTGTAACAGTAAACCCCCACCAAGGGGGCTAAGGAAAACTGCTTGTTTTGAACCTCAACATGGAATGGAGGCAGGGAAAATTTACTCTTGATAATTTATAACAAGTCAGTGAGCTTCACAAAGTTTTACAGCATAAATCACACTAGTCCAACAAACCTCAAACTGAAGGTTTAGTTTAACATGTCCCTGAACTTGTATTACCTCTGAGCACACAGAAGCAAACATTCTGATTTATAGTCCAGTTTTAAAAATCTCTCCTTAGCTGGGTCATCTTCTGTTAAACTCATCTGTTGGATTGCAAAAATTTGATTATTGTAGTTTTCGTTTCTAGATGCTCTATTTGGTTCTTTTCCAAATTTGTTTGGTTATAATTCTGAAGAAATTACCAGAATACAATACACAGAGAACAAAGAGTAGGAAAGGAAGAAACAGGTTAAAATACATAGGAGATACAACATTTCAACATGTTAGAGTTATAGGAGAGGGGGAGAATGAGACAGAGACAATATTTGAAAATAGCTGAGAATTTTTCAGAATTGATAGAAGCCAACAATCCATGGAGCCCAAAGAATTTCAAGCAGGACTAGGGGGAAAAAAATCCACACAGATATATCTTAGTGGTACAGAACAAAGATAAAGATGTGATCTTAGAGACAGCCAGAGAAAAAGGAGGCTGATTCCCTTTCAAAGGAGTGGCAGCTATTAAGGTGATATAGTTCACAGCAGAAATAAATGAAGCCAAGAGATAGTAGAATAACATCAGTGTGCTAAAAACTAATTGCCATCCTAAGATTCTAAACCATTAAAAATATATTTTTTAAAATGAGAAAAAATAAAGATATTTATAGACAAAGTAAAGTGAAGTTTGCTATTAGCAGACCTTCACTAAAAGGAAAATACTAAAGGATGAATCTTGTCTCCTATTTCAATGCATATACAAAGATTATTTCCAGAAACACAGATCTAAATGTAAAAGGCAATATAATAAAGTGTGTATTGCTAGGGCAAGGGCTCAGACCCTTCAAACCCAGTGTACAGACTAGGTCACCAGATCCCTCACACGCAGGTCCACGCTAGGTAATTGGGAAAGATCTTGGGAGCCATTGGCAGATGACAAGCTCAGTCCTCAGCAGTAGCGGTTGGGAAAGATCTTGGGAGCCATTGGCAGATGACAAGCTCAGTCCTCAGCAGCAGTGGCAGCCTCTTGGGGCACCCCAGGGGCCCTGGCAGCAACAGCCTTCAGCAGCAGTAGCAGCCTCCCCATGGGCATCTGGGGAACAGGGGGCCCTGTAGATCAGAGCCACTCATCCTTTATACTAAGTCCATAACCCAGGACAGCTGGGTGCACATGCGCAATTACATTAGACAATAACCAAGGAACACCTGAGTGCACGTGCATATTTACATCAAATGCTTGGCAAGATTCTGAACATCTGAGAGGCCCTGACCATTTTCCTTCACTTTCCCTACAAAGTGTGTAAAAGAAAACACAAAAATTTCTTCTTTATTTTGCAGTAGGAAAGGTTTCTTAAATTGGACACCAAAATCACTAGCAATAAAAGAGAAAATTGATGAATAGGACTTTATTAAGAACTTCTGTTTATTAACAGATACCATTAAGAGAGTGAAGAATAGGCCTCTGCCTGGGAAAGGATATTTGCCATATATAAATCCAACAAAGAACTCAAGTCCAGAATACAGAAGTAACTCCCACAAATCAATTAAAAAAAAAAAAGCCGGGCCGGCCCGGTGGTGCACTGCTACAGTGCGCCACTTGGGAGCATGGCGGCGCTCCCGCCGAGGGTTCGGATCCCACATACAGACTGGTTCCCGCTCACTGGCTGAGCGAGGTGCCGGCACCGAGGTTTGCGATCCCGTTGCTGGTCCCGGTCCGGTACGGGCGTGACACTGAGGGTTGTGATCTGTTGCCGGACACGAAAAAAGACAAAAAGGAAAAAAAAAGCCAATTTTTTAAAAAAGGCAAAAACCTTAACAGGCATTTCATAAAAGAAGATATCCAAATGGCCAATAAGCATGTAAGGTACTGAATGCCATTTCCCTGATGCTAAACTAAATTAAAACCAAAATAAGGTAACTGTACACACCTGCCAGAAATTAAAATTAAGGAGTCTAAATTAAAAACACTGAAAATGCTGTGTTGGGGAAGATGTGAAACAACTGGATCTCTCACACATGGCTGGTAAGGATCATTTATTTGAAAAGATCTAAAAAAAAAAAAAAAAAACCAAACTGCCAACCCCAGCAGCGCTGACTAAAACAAACCCTAGAAGGCACAAATATCAGAATGAAAAAGAGGATATCACTATAAGTCCTATACATATTAATAACAGGATATTGCAAATAACTTTCTGCATTTCATCTAAATTTTCAAATTTATAAGAATGAATTTCTAGACAATTATAATTTAGCCAAAATAACTCAATCAAAACTGGCTCTATCTTTATACATATAGTGGTGAGTATCCCTGCCTGTCACATGCAGAAAAAAAAAAAACAAAAAAAACCCTAACTCTAGAAAAAATAGAAAACCCGAATAGTTCTATAATAAATTAAATAAACTGAACCAGTGATCAAAAATGTTCCCATACAGGAAAGTTCATGCCAGGTGGCTCTCAGGCAGTTCTGCCAAATATTCAAGAAAAAAATAATCCCAGTTTTACAAGACTTTTCTAGAAAGAGAATAAAAGGAACATCTATAGCTTATTTTATAAGCTATCATAACCTTAATAGAAAAGCCTAACAAGGATGAGAAAGGGAAGTTATAGACAATCTTACTCATGAACACAGATGAAAAACATCTGAAATATATACATACCCACACCCACCCACATGAAAACATACAGATATGTAAATGAATATGTGTGTGTGCGTGTGTGTATGCAAACCAAATCCAACAATGCAAAGGAAGGATCATACATCATGATCTATTGGAGTTTGTCCTGGGAAAGCAAGGCTACTTCAGAAAACCTATTAATTCATCAATTTAACATATTAAAGGAGGGGAAAAAAATCATATGATCATCTCAGTAGATGTAGTAAAAGTATTTGATAAATGCTCTTAAGCATAATAAAAACTCTCCAGGTAATAATAGAAGGGAACTTTCCTCACCTGATAAAGGGTGTTTACAAAAACACTTTCAGCAAACACCATGCTTACTGACGTCTGCTGTACGGCCAAGGAACACCGAGGGTTGCGATCCCGTTGCCGGTCCCCGGTACGGGCGTGACACTGAGGGTTGCGATCCCGTTACCGGTCAGTAAAAAAAGACAAAAAGGGAAAAAAAAAAAAAAAGAAGTAAGAGTTTTCTAATAAATTATTAGAAGAATTACAGTATATTCATACTGAAGGGGTTAAAATATGCTATTTTACCATACTGATGAAGCTAAAGACACCTGAAAAAAAAAGCGGGTGCAAAAAGATCACTCTGACCTTTGTGCTGTTTCTTAATAGCAGAAGATGAAATTCTTGTGTCTTTCACTCTCCCTACTCTAGAAAGGCCAACATCCTTATCGTCAAGGATGAGAATTTGAGGCCAAATGAATACTTTACAGACTTTGTTAGAATTTAACTCCTATCTTTTAAGCCTCCCCACATAATTTAGTTACACTTTCACAGTTTACTATTCTTTGTCCAATTCAGTATATAAGTGCTGAGCTAGGGCCCACAGACCCTCCACATGCCAGACTGGGTCGCCAGACCTCTCACGTACTGGTCCATGAGCTAGGTAATTGGCAAAGATCCCGGGAGCCATTGGCAGATGACACAAACTCAGTCCTCAGCTTCCTCAGCAGCAGCAGATCCAGCAGCAGTAGCAGCCTTCCTGTGGCCCCCCCAGGGTGGGGAGTGGTGGGAACTGTGGATCAGAGCCACTTGTCCTTTATACTTAAGTCCAATAACCTAGGACACCTGGGCGCAGTCAGAAAACCAGAAAACACCTGGGTGCACATGCACAATTACATTAGATAATAACCCAGGAACACCTGGGTGCACATGCATATTTACATCAAATGTTCCGCAAGATTCCGAACCCTTCGAGGGACCCTGACCATTTATCTTCACTTTCCCTACAATAAGTAACTGACTCTTAATTTGTTCTTTGGGTCTTCATTTCTTTATGAGGGCTCCTGTGCCATGTAAAATTTGTATTGAAATTATATGGTTTTCTCCTGCTAATCTATCTTATGTCAATTTAATTCTCAGACACAGCCAGGATCCTAAGAATATGGAGGGGAGTTTTTTCACCCCTACAATACAATGGAATACTATTCAGTAATAAAAATGAACTAATTTTGAGATTAACATGGACACACCTCAAAAACAATACTGAATGAAAGTTAGAGAATATATAATGAAATAAGAATGTACATAAATTCAAATGCAGGCAAAACTAAACAGTATGTTGGGTAGAGATATATACACTATGAAGAAAAGCAAGTGAAAAACTATCACAAAAATCATGTAGTGACTATTATGGAGAGGGTGAGGGTATGTGATTGAGAAGGGGCACAAAGGGCCTGTCACTGGTAATGTCCATATCTTAATCTGGGTAGCTGGGGCTCTTGTGTTTGCTTAATTATTCTTTAAAGTACATAATTATATGTTATATACTTTTTGGTATTTATGATATTTTACAACAGAAAGAAATTAATTTATCTCATTTTCATTTAACTTTTGGTAATAAAATACTTTATTGGTACCATTTAATGTCAAAAACACAGTAATGTTTCCATTAAATTAAAAGCTAGTTTAAAAAAACAGGAGTAAAACTAAAATCATTTGATTCTCTCAAAAAACAATCTGCAAATTACCTTTGCAAATAATTAAGTTCTCTCACTTCAAATACCATAATTCACTTGTCTTCATAATAAATAACTGTGTATAAAAGGAGACAATGGCCAGAATTATTTTGCACAGAACATTATACACGTATTAAAAAATACCTACATGCTATCCCAACTTAAAACTTGTAAGAATAATTAGTTATTATAAAATTGAATTCATGTAGCACCTAGAAGTTTGGAATTTGTAATATTTCAGATGAAATGATTGACTGAGAAAAAAGAGTAATAATTTTTCTTCTGTGAATTTTCAGGAGTTTATGTACAAACAGAATTCAATATAGGTCCCTTTTCTTTTAAAAGCCAAAGGTTAAAAAATTTACGCATGCCTTTCACTTTATTTCCAATTTTTAGATGTAGCAATTGAACCAATGGTAGAAGATTCATGTGTAATAAATAATATAGTACAGTCCTAACTGAATATATTTATTCACTTTGTCTCATTAACATACTTTACACCTCAACTAAAACAACACTCTGTCTGCAAGTAACATATTTCTCTTACATATTCTGTAATTCCGATTTCCATTCAGACTACCTTCTCCTCCTCTCCTTTTCCAAAATCAGAATGATTTTACGGTATACCTCATTAAATTGTTTTTTCTCCCCACAGTGATTCTCTTTTCAACTCAAAGAATTATAATAATGCAAATATAGATGTAGCGTATATTAACATATTAGAAAATAAAGGATAATAAATACATATGGATCCATGCTAAATGAGAAAACACAAAGCAAAAAAACAAAGAAAACTGCTATGCTCATCTATTCTGAACCACCACAGGAAGGCCCTGATGTAGTTGGCTCACATAAACTGATGTTTCCAGACAAAGCTAGTATCTCATACTCCAACATAATTAAATGCTCTGTTAAAAATATTTCCATGCTTATTTCTGTTTGTTCAAAACAGTCTACAGCAACTTTGACTAGCAATCCTGAACATGATGCTAATGTAATAACACACTATATTTTTAATCAAGCCACAGACTCTAACCTATTTTTTCTTATTTGTTTAAAAACAGACATTCAGGGCCGGCCCGGTGGCGCACTGGATAGTGCGCCGCTTGGGAAGCGCGGCAGCGCTCCCGCCCCAGGGTTCGGATCCTACATACAGACCGGCTCCCGCTCACTGGCTGAGCGAGGTGCGGGAGCAACACCGAGGTTTGCAATCCCGTTGCCGGTCCCTGGTCCGGTACGGGGGCAACACTGAGGGTTGCGATCTGTTGCCGGTCACGGAAAAAAAAGACCAAAGAGAAAAATAAAACAAAAA